CAAGAGTTTTCTAGGTTTTTGTCAATTTTTCTTCCAGATACATCGGAAAATTTGAAAAAAAAGTGAAAACGAGCGAAAAAATTTTAAAAGTTTGAATTCGCGCGCTTTTACTCACCGGGCGGCCTAGAAAAAACCTCGTCCCTAAGGGCTTTCAGCGTATTTTTCGATGCGTTTTTCTCGATGAAGGAATTTTTTTCGAATTTTTTCTTTATTTTTATGTCAATCTACATGCATTTCTGCACATTTTGATGCAATAAAAAATTTCACCACCTTTAAAAAGGCTAAACAAAAGATAAATTGAACAATTATAGATTCCTGATGAGAGCTGCCGAAGGTGTCAGAAAAGGAAGTGCCAAACTTGCTGACATAGGAGCATACATCGGAAAGACTGGACCTAAAACCTCCCGCCTAACCACACACTACCACTATACTGATGCTGATCTGGTGGCAGATTTGGAGCATGCTGCTCGAAAACAAGTGTTCCGAGCATACGATCGTTTGAAGAAGGCCCAAGAGCACCTTAGTCCAGAAGTTGCCTGGAACTCGGTGTCAGTTGAACTCGCAAAAGCATCCAGATGGCATGTGCGTGTCTACCTGGTCAAGAACTTCTTGAACAAGGTTGCTCTGGCTCCTCAAGATTTGAAATTCGTGCTCACCGATGTTGCTAGACTCTATGCCTACGACATTATCACATCTTCAATTGGAGCATTTTTGGAAGATGGATACATGAGTTCAAATCAAATGAATGAGGTCAAAGAGGGAATTTATGAGTAAGCGAGTTTTTCAAAAGAAGTAATTTGACAATGGCATATGAATGTTGTTTCCAGGTGCTTGGCAAAGATCCGTCCAAACGCTGTTGCATTGGTTGACAGCTGGGATTATGATGACAAAGAGTTGAAATCAGTTTTGGGTAGACGTGATGGAAATGTGTACCCGGCTCTTTTGGAGTGGGCTCAAAACAGTCAGCTGAACAGATCAGATGTGTTGCCATCGCATACAAAGTATTTGGGTCCAATGATGAAGGATGCTCGCTCAAAATTGTAAAAAATATATTTTTTGTATTTATTAGGCTTTTTTACTCTGTTTCAATGTGAAATGAATGAATATGAACATACAGTTCCAGTCAATGATATACACAAACATATTTTTGACGGATTTTGGGGAATTTGACCATTTTCAGGGATCTGGAACTCGGCTGTCAAGTTTCCAATCACTTTGAAAATTTTGTAGGATGTGAAACAGACATAGACTGAAACATTTGCATTCACAGAATTTTTTGAAAATTCTTAGTTTTTTAGCTTTCCGAATTCTGAAAGACACCTATTTTTGGAAAAGCTAGAAAATTTTCAAAGAACTGTGTGAACACTAATTACTGTAGATACCATAATTTCAGAAAAAAGCTACAAAATATGTCTTTTAAAAATTTTAAAGAAACGCCTCTGGAGTGACTTGAGAGAATTAAGCAATATTCAAAATTTAAAGGCACAACTCTCCAGGAAAATGAAATTTCGAAAATCTGAAAACAAAGTAAATGAAGAGTACATTTCCAAAAACCCTGCCAGCCTATTTTAAAACTCTGTTCAGACCACAAAAATTAAAGATTTCCAATACGATAATTTTTTGCACTGTACAGGCCGCCAAATAAATAGTAATTACGGTGAGAAAACAAAACATTGGCGGATTAGAAAAACCAGTGTCAACTGATACGATGAACTGGCAGAAAGAGGATGATGAAAATGTATTGTTTTACCACATTTAAGTTTTCACTCAGTTCCTGCCTGGTTTTTTGATTTTTTGAAAATACGAAGATTTGAAAATCTGGATTTTTGAAATTCAAGCAAGTTTTTCTATCTGAAAGCTGTACACCTTCATATGACTGAGCTTCGGGTTTAATTATCTAGATTTCTATAAAAGATATAAAAAACTTGTCAACTGATAGACTTCTTATCATAATATCACAAGCATTTTTGCAGTTTACAGATTTTTGATATCTCTTTCAGAAATTGAGATAACTTATCTCAAAGTGCAAGTCTAGGGTTTAATTTTGCGGAATTTTTTAACATGTTCGACTGTTTTTGACGGTTAACGAATCTAGGAAATGGTCAAAAACCGGCCACAACTTTATTTATTACTCTTTTCCGAAATCAATGCACGTTGAGACCGAAAATTTACTCAAAATTGCGAGAAGCGAAAACAACAAATTAATGCATGCGCCTTTAAAACCGTACCTCGGACGAATTTTCTTGCGCCCCATTTGGCTGTTTTTCTATTTTATAAGGAAAATAAATTAAAGATTTATGAGAATTAGACAAAATTTGACAGAAACAAGCGAAAAAATAAGAGAAAAAGGCAAAAATTCAATAATTGTTAAGGTACTGTTTAAAGGCGCGTGCATTAATTTGAAAAATACAGTAGTGTTGTTCTCAAGTTTCGCAATCTGTTATAATCGCTTTGATGTTTTAACCTCCCGAATTCATTTTTTCAGTCTCATTCTATTGTTACAAATCAAACATCGAAAAAAATATAAATTTCACTTTTCAGCATATAAGATCCAAATGGCATAGTAACCTTTCTTTCCGCTATCTTTTTTTTTGAAAAATAAAACAAATCAATTTCGGGTCGTCTTGCCATTTTTAGGTGCGCCCTCCCTCCCCTTTTTTTCTCCCAATTTTAAATAACATCCACTATCTCGAGACACCTATTGTGCTTCTTACCCAATTGTGAATCATGCTATAGTACGGAAAATTGTTGTCTAGTGTTTTTTTTTATTCCTCTTGGTACTGTACATTCGAAACTTCTTCTTGTATTATACAAGAAATCAAATAGAGTCCAAATAGTTTAGAATACATTTACCTCAAATTTTCCAAAAATTACTTTCTACACCGTTGCAACAAATGTGTTCTTTCTAAAAGGCAAACATTTGCCAGTGATCAGTAGGAGGCAGAGTAGATCAGAAAAAATCAGGAAATGAGAAAACGAAACACAATTCTTCCTTCCCACAACCGTATATTCTTAATTTCAAGGCCAAACTATAGGAATAAATAGGAATAAAGCTTTAACACAGAAGCAAATAAACATGGTTGAGGGTTCTGAATTGAGGAAAAAAAGCATAAACATGTCCTCGATTTCCTTTTCTTTTCCCTATTGCCGTTTTCTACCGTATTTGCGCATGAATAAAGAAAATCAACACGAATTTTCTTCCTCTTTCCCACCCATTTCGACAATTCAATATAGATCGTGAATTCATAAACAACTCCTTCTGAAAAGAACACAGAACTGTTCTCGATTTTGCTTTTTTTCCCTTTATTCGGTGCTTACATTGTTAACTTCCCATTTGAACAATTACTCACATACAGTAATCCACTTCCTTTACTTACAATTTTTTGTTGATGTTGACCTCATAGTCTTTTCGTCTCATTCATTGTGCGGGAGGTCAGAGCATGGTATTTACACAAACTGACCACAGACTTTGTGCTGGTGGAAGGCTACTACTTTCATTCCTTGCTCCTTATCGTGTTCTCCTTCTGTGTGCTTTAAAAATCTAATTTCCGCGAAACCTCTTCCGCATCATGTTCATTTTGGTGAGACGAGACAGTTTGGTTAATTGGTTTTTTGAGTTTTTGAAAATTCAGAAAATTCTTTTTTTGTTCATTACTTCGATCGAAATGATTCCCCATTCTTGCTTTTCAAACTCAATTATCTTGATTTCTACAATAGATACCAAAAAATCCCCAACAAATAATATGCTGATGATATTATGGCAAACATTTTATCAGTTGACATATGTTTGTTATCTTTTATAGAAATCGGGATAATTGAGCTTGAAGGGCAAGTATAAGGAAGCCTTCTATTAGGGTATTTACATTATTTCAATTTATTCTTATGAAGATAGTTTGAAACTATAAATTTTACTTGAAATTCAGTAATTGAGCTTAATATTTCAACTGTTCTTTCGTTCATCAGTTTTGATCTTCGGAGTTTTAGATATAATTAGCTTAAAAACGTTCTCAGAACCTAAATTGTTCTTTTAAAAAACTCGTTTTGTACAACAAATCAACGTCCACGAACGTTTGAAAAAACCTATGAATACTTCATTTTATAGTCTTTGTATACCGTAAAACCTGTAATAGAAGGGCCCCCATACTGTCCGGGTTGAGCTCAATTATCTCGATTCCTATTAAAGCTGTCAAAATGTGTCAACTGATAAAATGTTTGGAATGTTATGATAAACAATTTATCAGTTTGCAGTTTTTTTTTCATATCTTTAACAGAAGCCGAGATAAATTTGGTCAGCGTTAAAGATTAAGAGGCCCTTCTATTACAGGTTTTACGGTATATATTTCCTTTTTTGGGATAAAACATCAAATTGTAAATTTTTTGGAAATATATTTTTTTTGGCGTAAGAGAACATTTTTCAATTCGCTCCTCTGCATATTAGCAACACCAAACCTTCAGACACTTTTTAGTACTTTTTACCTAAAAGAACTTTTGTGCACGAAAATGTTGGTTTGACCTTCTGTACCAACATAAATGGATTATTTTCTAAAACCCATGTGTGTTTTCACATCTCTCATGATTTTATTTGCCTTCTGTGTGCCATTCCGATCTTCGACTCCCTCCAATTGACAGTTTTATGTATCTAAACAAGGTGTGAGCAGTACCTAAACAGAAGTGTTATACCTACTCGGAAAAAACTACAGTATAATTGTGTGACTACAGTTTAATAGATTTCTTTGATCTAAAGACAAGACTCACCGCCCAAAACTTCTGTACATATTGACACTGATGCGGGCGGGTTGGCAACGTGAGCGTGGTTAGGTATAGAGGAAGAATCAAAAAGTTAATCATAAATGTAAAAATAACGATCTGGCCTTATGGTCCCGGAATTTTTGAAAAAAAATCCAAAATTTCAGAAGTTCGATTTTGTGAAAAAAATACCGTAAAACCTCTAATAGAACGACACCCGGATCGTCCACTTTGAGCCTATATATCTCACTTCTTTTGAAAGATATCAAAAAGTGGTTAACTAGTAAATGTTTATCAGGATATCAGCAACATTTTACTAGTTAGCTACTTTTTGATATCTTTCACAGTAAATGAGATATATAGGCTCAAAGTGGACAATCCGGGTGTCGTTCTATTAGAGGTTTTACGGTATGCTTTAACGACAATCCATTGTCGAGCTTATTATTATCAGAAATGTTGCCTGTTTTTTGTAAATTACTCCAAAAATTTTTTTGAGAAATACCTTGAAAATTACTGTAAACCGGAGCCATGGCAATTTCGATAAAAGTCATGATCAAAAGAGTAAGTTCAAAGTTTAACCATGATGATGCTGATAACATGTTCGTGATGTTTATGCTTCCCTTTTCCGGGCCCCGCCGCCGCAGACTTAAACGCATCTGAAAATCTGAATCATCGTCATCATTTCCATGAGAATCTTGAGAAAAATGAAGCAACCCCCACGTTGTCCATCAGAACCACACCCAAGAACCGCGTAGGTGGTCTGGTCTGTATATGGCGGTTTGCATATTCGGAACAGTTCAAGATGATGTATGTTTTTCGAGTGGGAGGAACCAGGAGATGACATCCACAACGTTTTTTTTTCAATCATCTTCCCTTGAATAAGGGAGTACAGTGAAATATATAAGGGTTAGGTTAAACTAAGTTCAGAAGGCTCTCTTCATTTTTGAATAATACATTGCATTTCCTTGCACTTTCTTTTTCTGTTCCTGATGAATGTTCCTGACGAATGTTCCTGATGAATGAGTCTGCATAATTTCTAAAGCGAACTACTTCTCTTTTATGGTAATTTCTATTCCGCATGGAACATTTTCCCCCTTCTTATTGTTGCAAAGATGCATCTGAGTGATGCTTCTTTGTATTACAAACTTTTGAAATTTTGTGTATAACACTTTTTAGGCTAGCAGCTGAAATTGTGTTCTTAGGCATTACGGTAAATACAGCATTGGTCAAAAAGATATACAAAAATGTACTTTTCAGATGATTTTGACTATTTTTCAGAAGTCTGGAGCTTAGCTGTCAAGTGTAATCTCATTTTGAAAATTTCGTAGAATGTAAAACAGACCTAGATTGAAAACTTTGCCAACACATAATTTTTCGAAAACTCCTAGTTTTTCAGATATTGGTCAATTTTTGAAGGACCCCTCCTTTTTCACATTTTTGTACTAAACACGAGAAAAAGCAGGGGTCCATCAGAAATCAGCAGAGCTAAAAAACTAGAAACTTTCAGAAATTTCTGTAAATGCATAGTTTTCAATCTAGATCCGTTTTATATCCTTCGAAATTTTCAAAGTGCTCGGAAATTCGACAGCCGAGCCCCGGACTTCTGAATATGGTCTAAATCGACTTAAAACAGGAAAAATATTTTTGAATGTTTTTGGTCATTACGATAGGTACATACATCTTCTTTTGGGTTGTTACCAGTTCTTGTCGGGTTGTGTTCGTGACTCACTAAAAAGATTATTCTCAAAAAAGAAAGCTCGAGAACAAAAACTGGTAAATGACGTGAGCATGAACTTAAGCACAATACCGCGCTTGAGTAAATTGTGAACCATAGTACTATAAAAGAAAAACGATACGTGTCATTTCCCAAATTACTCTCTAATTTCCTCCAATTCTTCCCTTCCAAATCCTTCTTTTGGTCCTTTACCTTTCTCTTCCTTCAGTTACACCATCGTCGGCTTCCATTTCCGCAATTAGACCGAAAATCTTTAGAACAAACATTGCGGATTACATAATCCCGATGTCTCACTCGATTCAGTAGTGAAAGTGTTTCTTTTGAATGAATTGTTGGTAGGAGGAGGCAAGAAAAGAGATAGAATTGAGACTATTTGTATCTGGTTACAGTCCGTCTCAAATTCGCACACCTACACCGTTTTTGGAATAAAAACTTGAAGAGGTGTCTCTCTCTCTCTCTGGATAGTTCGTGACTGATGTCTACTGACTCATCATTTATTGTCATGCACCTAGATTATTGAAAAAAAAGCGGACAGGTAAACTGTTCTTTCTCGGTCTGCAACGGTCAAAAACATGTTAGGTGATGAATAGCGTTTTTTATATTTGACATGTTGTCCTTGTTTCAATGTTCACTTTCATTTTTTAATAATTTTTCATTTATAGGTCCACGAAACTTTTTCAAAGTAGGTTATCTTCACGGAATTGGATTCAAAACCTTCCTGTTACTGTAGTTTACAAGGTCCTTGGTTTTCAAAATTTTTTCGTGAATGCGATTTTTAATGAATGGGTTCTATACGTTTATTTTAATAACTTCTTTTGATGAAGTTTTGAAATCTTTAAACAAATTGAAAATTACTCGTTCTATTAACTAAAAATTTATTAATTCAACCTACCGTAAACATTCTCATAAAATGACCCCTCCAACTTTTATCTTTGAGCTTAATTATCTCGATTCCTGTGAAAGATGTCTAAAATATGTCAACTGATAAATTATTTATCATGATAGCAGCAACATTTTATCAGTTGACAAAATTTTGATATCTACTGGAGAAAATGAGATAGAGGAGCTCAAAGTTGACCGTTTGGGGAGAATCCATCAAAATTGTTTACCTCTTTCAGTTGAAAATAGTCATTTTTGAATGCTTTGAAGGATAGAGTAAATATTGTTAGACGAGACTGAAAGTTTCTGGGTCCACTGAACAAAAGAAGAGTTTTGATTTCGTAGTTAACAACTTCTTTGTACGACTTCATCCAAGTGAGGTGAACGACTTGAAAGTGTCACGACAATAACTTGAATTTTTATTTAGGAAACTTTAGGATTCGGTATATTTTGAGAGGTTGATAAACTTCTTGTCGGTACTCAAACTGCAAAACCTAGAAAATACCGTAACCCAATGTTGAGAGCTGTTTTGAATCCATTTGGCTTTCTCTTATACTTTATACCTATCAGTCATCTCAGTGTAGGTGTGAAGTTGAATATCTAAGCCTCAGGTGACCTTCCTCCCCTACCTCAAAATTTGCCCAAGTATATCCTCCCACTCTATTTGATTTCGTTTTGCCCTCGTTCCCCCGTTCTCCCACCCCCTCTCTATGTCCCCCACCTGATTTAGGTGTGATAGTGTCACTTCAATACCTTAACACCCCCTTACTAATTTATTCAAAACCTTTTTTCTGTTCTTTATCATCTAGTTCCAGAAGTTGTGTTTATTAATAACACAGTTGACAGGCAGAGAGGAGTGTGGGAGGGAGAAGGGCAGGCAGAGAATAAACAGTTATCGATACAGTACACTGAATGATGGAGAGGAGAAGAGGGGCCTACGCCATAGTCAACAAAATGGCGTCGGTGTCTTCTCCTCCTAGGCCCCAAATCAGCCATCAATCTTGTCCCTCTCTGGGTGTTCATCACATGAACAAGTAGAGAAAACGATTTGACTATAAAATATCGTCGAATTTGTAGCTTTAGTGCAACTCTATTGAATGGTTTAGAAATCAAAGAACCTTAAATAGGAAAACATTTTTTTTTTGAAAAACTTTTTGTACTACTAATACTAATATGTACTACTTCTTCTCTGTTTTTTTTGCTGTAAAACATTCCAGATTCCCTTTATTGATGTTTCATTTTTTCTACATCTTCTCATTCTCTCTTTTCATAATTTTTTCTAAATTTCAAAAAGTAATTCTAGACAATGGACGCGCAGAAAGAATGCGTGTTCGTCTCGGAGAAATCCAAAATATTCCCCTCGACTCGACTATTTTTCTCATTTCTACTATGCCTGTGTTTTGTGGCACTCGCTATTGGAACCTCGAACATTTCACAGTCCATGGTTTGTATGGTCAAAAAGCCGGATACCAATTTTTCGTGCCCGCTGGCGGAGCCAGAAGTGGAAGCGGTGCCGTGTAATCATCCGAAACAGTTTGCATGGAGCTCCATTCAACAGGGTAAGTGGTATTTTTGCAAAAAAAAATTTTTTTTATCCGGTCATAAGACAGTTGATCATTTAAAAATCCTTCTTAGAATGTCAGATTTATCAAATTGTTTTTTTTTCAAAAAAATTCCTATCTCTTCTGAAATAAGAAGAAAAATTACTTTCTAGGTCTCATCTACTCGGGACAAAACTTCGGTTCCCTCTTCATGTTCCTCACTGGGTGGCAAGCGGATCGTTTGAATGGAAAATGGACGATAGTGGCGGCCATGGTGTTCATTATCATATCCAACGCTCTTCTACCAGTCTCCGCTGGCGTCTCATTTGCGCTCGTCTTTTTTCTGAGGTTTGTGTGTTATATAACACCTTCATAGAACAACTTTAAGCCGATAGATTGTATAGGTCACACCGTATGTGTTTCATTTGAAGAAAATAGATGAAAGTGAGATTCGCGGCGGCGTTCCAAATGTCTCAATTTGATCTGTTAGTATATTTTTCTAGGTTAGGAAAGATAGAGACGAGAAAAAAAATATGAAAGGAATGATTGAGATTTATGGGGAATGAACATATGATTATTCGGTTATTTTGACTTGTGATCAACATATAATAAAAATAGATAAATAGATGAGTAAAATAGAAAGAGAAGAAAACAGAGAGATCAGAAAAATAAAGAGGATTCTTATTAAGGGAAGTGTGATGATGTCATTTCTAAAAAAATGTCTAGAAAATTTGGATACTAGATTTGCTTTAATTAGAAGCCTACCGAAATCGTTAGGTTTGAGCGCAATTATCTAGATTCGTGTAAAAGATATAAAAAACTTGTCAACTGATAAATGATTTATCATAATGTTACCCATATTTGATCAGTTGACTATTTTTTGATATCTTGTAAAAGATATCTAAAACTTGTCAACTGATAAATCGTTTATCATAATATAACCTATGTTTTATTAGGTTGGCGGGAAAGTCTTTGTCACTCTGTTTGTTTAATCACTGTTCTCGTATATGGAGGCTGTGTATGATATCGACTTTAGTGAATAACAAGGTGATAAGAACCTTCCATATAAACAAGTCCCCATCTCCTTCCCTGCTCCTCATCTGTAATTGAAACGATATGTTTGTTCCCACTGCTATTCACATCAGACATGTTTTGATTTACCTCTTCCTATCTCACACCACGATGAAGGATTCGGAAACTTTCTTGAAGAATGTGTACAACACACATGCCCCTCACTACAATACTATTCGCAATTGGTTCCATCGTTTCGAAAAAGATGACTTCTCGCTCGATGAAAAGGATCGCTCTGGGAGACCCCGTGAGTTGGATTTGGACAAGCTGAAGCACGCATTGCAATCGGATCCATTTCAATCTAGCCGTGAACTAGCTGTCACATTCGGAGTTCACCATAGCACAGTCCTTGAAGGTTTGAAGTCTCTTGGAATGAGAAAACTTTTTGGTCGATTCATACGTCATCACCTGACTCAAGCCAACCTTGACCGCCGAGTCGACGATTCGATTACTCTTCTCACTCTCCACGCGGGCGATCGATGGCTGGACCGGCTAATAACCGGAGATGAGAAGTGGGTCTTCTACGATAATCACCACAGGAAATCCCAGTGGGTTGGAGAAGGAGAGAGCCCACAGGATGTCCCCAAACCCGACCTTCATCCGAAAAAAGTTATGCTCTCTGTGTGGTGGGGAGTGGACGGCCCCATCTACTGGGAACTTCTGCCCGAGGGCAAAACAATAACTGGAGACCTCTACACTACTCAACTACGAAACCTCAAGAAAGCAGTCGACCGTTCGGCCCTGAAAGACAAGAAAGTGTACTATCAACATGATAACGCTCGCCCACATGTTTCGAAACAAGTGAAGCAGGAGCTGATGGGATATGGATGGAATGTTCTCCCTCACCCCCCGTATTCTCCTGATCTTGCTCCTTCCGACTATTGGTTATTTGGCGATATGACACGTGCCTTCGAAGGAAGAAGCTTCAATTCCCGTGGAGCGGTCGAAGCGGCACTCAAACAATACTTTGCCTCACGCCCGGCTGGATTCTACCGCAATGGAATCCATAAATTGAGGGAACGTTGGAGACATGTTGTTGATAATGATGGACAATATAATTAATTATTCGGTTATTTTTTCTTTGAGAAATAAACTATTGAAAAAGTGACAAAGACTTTCCCGCCAACCTAATATTAGTTAACAGTTTTGTGATATCTTTTATAGGAATCGAGATAATTGAGTTCAAAGTTGACGGCGTTTTCTATCTTGGAAACTTTTCCAACCAATGTCGTCCATTTCATCCAATTTCATAGTTTTTCCAGATTTCTCACTGGCGTTGGAGATGCTCTTCTGTCCCCTGCATCTTCTTCCATGATCACTAGATGGTTTCCGCCAAAAGAACGACCCAGTGCACTTGGAATCGTGACCGGTGGTCGTCAAATTGGTCAGTTATCTTTTTTATTGCCATTTCCCTTTTTCACGTTTCGACCTCTAACTTTTGTTCATTGGCAGAGATTCGAATAATGTGATACTAAGAAAGTAAATGAAATGGAAAATTTGTGTTTTTGAAGATAAACACAAACAACAAAACAATGTTTCTTCCAGGCACCCTGATTATCTTACCGGTTGGCGGATGGTTGTGTGGAAACGATGGCAGCAAATTTCTTGGTGGTTGGCCAGCAATTTTCTATCTGTCTTCAGTGTAGCCGCCGCGGTGTTGGTCATCTGGATGGTTTTCTCAGCTGACAAACCATCGAAACATTTGTGTATTTCTCATGTAATTCAGAAAACAGGGTTAAATTGATAGCATAAATGCAATTTCAGAACGAGGAAGCCTATATCACTCGAAAAATCGAAGAAGAGAATATTGGAAAACGAAAGCAAAGAAAGAGTACACCATGGAGAGCAATTTTGACTTCCAAGCAAGTCTGGGTAGCAGTAGCAGCTTTGGTTTGCCACGAATTTCCACTAGTGATCATGCTTCAATTCCTACCAAAATTCTTCTCGGATGTTCTTGGGCTCTCCAACACAGTTAACGGATTAGTTTCTGCTCTTCCAATGGGAATCCTATTTCTATCCAAATGCCTGTCATCTAGTCTAGCATCTTATCTTACAGCAAATGGATATCTGAGTAAGCTCATGGTTACAATAATCCTATTTTGATCGTCTGTTTTTAGGGAAAACCCAATCTTGCAAAATCTTCAACTTCATTGCCTCCCTTGGACTTGGAATCTGTATTGCTATTACTCCATTAATGGGAACTCTTCAACAATCGGTGTGGGCAATTTTGATACTTTGTATGGCAAATGCTTTTGCAGGTATACCCCTCTAAAATAGAAGTTTACTATACAATCCTAATTTTCTAGGACTCCACACCCCTGGAGTTCAAACTGCTCTTGTTCAACTCGCCCCTGCATTTTCCGGTATTATCACTGGAATCGCTTTCACGGTCGCCGCGTGTTTCTCGATTTTCAACAAACTTCTTATCAGTCAGATTCTAGTGTGAGTTTTTTTTAATAGATATAACATATCTATATGAATATCTCTTATCACTGACAACTTATCTCGTTCTTCTTGGTTTCAGGACTGGTTCCAAACACGAATGGACTATTGTTTTCGAGATTTCAGCGTTTGTCGCTATTCTACCAACAATTTTCTTTACAGTGTGGGGATCGGCAGAAAGAACGGTGAGTTTTGAAGAGAATTCTGAAAATCCTGAGCTCTCTTTTCATTTTAAAAATTGGAAAACTCCGAAATTTTGAAATGAGGATTTCTCGAAGTTTCGAATTTTTAAAATCGGAATATTCCTAAATACCAATTTTTAAAAACCGAAATATCGTAAAATTTTTAAATTGGAGCTTTTCGAAGTTCCGAAATTCCAATTTTTCAAAATCGGATTACTACAAAACTCTTAATTACACAAAATCAAAATTTCTGAAATTCTGAAAATCCAAATTTTCCCAAATAGACGAAATTCTGAATTTTCTGAAAACAAAATATTCCGAAATTCCGAAATTCCGAAAATTTCAAAATCACAATATTCCGAAGTTCCGAATTTCGGAATTTTTCGAAACCGGATAATTCCGAAATTCTCAAGATTGGAATATTCTAAAATTTCGAATTTTTCAAAATAGGGATATTCCGAGATTCCGAAAATCCGAAATTTGGACAACCGGAATTTCCGACATTCTGAAAAATTCCGAAAAGGCTATTCGGACATTCCTGGTTTTGCAAGACAACTTTTTCCAAATAAAAAACAATTTCAGGAATGGGCTTCCAACCGTGTCTCGGTCCCAAAGGATGCCGATCAGAAATCCAATGACTCTGAATCCTCAACCTCCTCGACGATACAAGCTTTCGCCAAGTATAGCATGTTTCTATCTCATGATCTCACGAATTCTGCCTAGCCGAAAAGAAATTAGCTTTATTTAAAAAAAAAAAACTTTAACACATTTTCTATTGCCAGCTTTAGTTGTAAATCTCGAATCCAACGGGCGGAAAACACTTATCACTGAAAAAACCAAACGATATCATTTTCTTTCTCTCTGGCTAGTCTACTGTAATTAAAGAAACCTCCCCCCCCCCCCCATTTTCACTTTATCCTGTTCATGATTGTTTTATTTTTCTTCTTGCTTTTTCTGTAAGTAACGAACATTGTCCTTCTCTGCATCCGGGTGTGCTGGACCAAAAAATCACTGCATTTTTATAAATTTTAATACATTTATCTCCTTTATCAAAAACTAGGTTCATTGTATGCGTACACAGCTTTACTTCCGATTTCTGTGTGTATTTAAAATAAAAGTTTTAATCAAAATTATTCATTAAAAAGTGAAAAGAGGAGCAGGTGATAATTGGAAATATCGAGAGAAAAATGTGTTTCAGCTGCCTTATGCTCACGGAAAAAAAAACTTGGCCATGTGATATTAAGCCACAAGTTTTGTTTTGTTCAGTCCTTTTGCTCTCAAACTTTGAAATGCGCCAAAAATGATTCCCATGCTAATTTGGTTCATTTTCATTGTGCTGATAGCGCTGCTAGCATGTCTAGCAATCAAATTTTTGGTGGGTTACTGTAGTTGGAACCGATATCGAATGCCAATGACGTTCTAGGCTCTCCGCATCGTTTTGGCACTGATTCTAAGCCTTCCAATATTGGTTTCTATTGGGTTCTGTGTTCTCCGAAGAAGTCCTGTCACAGAGACAAATGTAAGTCAAGTAAAATTCGGTTTCTGTGATATTGTAGCCACATAATTTGGAGTTTACAACTGTTTGGGCGTACAATGGGGTACAAAGTAATTTAGGGGTGCAAAAAGGTGCTTTTTTCCGGTAATTTGTACCCTAGTTGCAAACGGGCCGGCCCGGCAGATGGCGAACCGGCAGATAACTCTGCTTCAGAACAAGATATTTCGACAAATTTGATATAAAATGATAGATCTCGACGAGGTCCATCTTGGCTTTACTATACGGGATGGGTTCAGGTCCATTATAATG